ACTCTTGTAAAACACATCCACAATGTCAACACCATAATAGATGGATATCATCCCGATAGACCCAGAACTCCATGTACAGCTCAAATATATCCGTCAATTGGAGTTCAAAACCTAATCAGCCTTAAAATCGATATCAATAATCAAAAAAACCCGCTTAACGGTTCATTTGTACTTGCTGAGTCGTCGGCTCACCTTTTTCTCTACCTCTTTTCCCTTCCAAACTTTCATGGTCACCACTAAACTCACACTGCTCTACGCACCCCCTGTAACAACGTACCTACCTGCCTACCTACCTACAGGTCAGACGAAAATGTAACAAAAGCTGGTCGTTACATTTTAGTGTCGGAGGTGGGATCCACATCCCTCATGGTCAAACCGATGTGCACTGAACATCACCTATCCACTCAAATGCAACTCGCACCAGCTTCACACACCACACCTAGCCTCTAACTCACTCAGGTACAACCAGGCACTGAAGGGAGTGCTTCCAAAGAAGGAGGAGTAGTGTAACGCATTCGAAATCTTAGTCATTCACCTTCCAGTTTCGATTTTTAGACTGCCTCACCTCTTCGTTGTCAAGCTGTACTGTTTGTCAGTTATCTTTTATGATTGAATGTAAGCACATCCTGTGTACTTGCTGAATCGTCAGCTCACCTTTTTCTCTTCCTCTATTCCCTTCCAAACTCTGATGGCCACCACTAAACTCACACTACTATACGCACCCGCTACAAAAATGTACCTACCTGTCTAGCTACCTACAGATTAGATGAGAAAGTATCAAAAGTTGGTCGTTACACATTTACATAAGCATGGACAACTGAAATGTCTTCGAGAATAAAAGGTTCAACAACTTTTTAATAGTCAAAGATTTCAGTTGGTTGTTCAAATGATGTCCATTAATAGGTGAAAAAGCCTCCATGTTCAATATACTTGCTTTGTTGGCTATACTCACATCAAATGTTTTATGATTCAGAGTGAGCAGCTAGGCTTGAGAAGTTATTCACCAAATAATACTCTGTGTCACTATGTAAAACATGCAATAAAAAAACTATGATAGAAGCCAACTCTATAATACTTATCAAATTCTACTCGAACAGTGTTTTAAAACAAACAAACTTGTGATGCTCATCTAAACTGTATTGAATACTGTACAACGTAATCTGTATCCTATCACCTTGTCAAAGGTCGCCAAAAAGAAATTCCAGTGATTATTGTCATAACTTATTTTGACACAAAATTAAAGCTAAATTCCTAGGTGAGTGAAATAAAATTAAGATTGGGCCAGCAGTTTTGTCTTGTAACTCAGTTGGTAAAGCATCAGATCGATGTCTCGAGTCCTATCCTTAGCGTGGATTTTCACCTCATTTTCAGTCAATATTCAGTATCACTCCTTGGCATTAGACTAACCCAAATGACATAATGTATGCGGATAGTGTTACTCATCATCTAACAATAGCTAGATCGTAATAAGTAGTTCTGTATGACTGTGTGGTATATCGAATGGACTGGTCAGATATGCAACAATTTATTTCTGAGTACACCTACCACATAACACTTTTAGAAGTGATAGTTGAATACTCCGGTGGATTATCAGACTATTCCATACTGCTTTGTTTTCAACTGGGAAAGAATTCTAACCTATTTAAAAAAGAAATGTGACTACTGAACACGAAGTTATAGAGCTTTCATCAACAGACTGAAGACCTCGTTTGATACCTAAACACTACCCCCAATTTGTATGGATCATATATTTCACTATACAAAAATACGTTTTAATATAGTCCCTACATGTTTAGAAAAGGGAAAGATTTTCTTAAGTAAGCATCAACTTGGTCAGCTGATCTTCTAAGCACGTTAGGATTATATTAGAATATACTTTTATAACGACTAAATCGAACTGGGTGTTCAAATTCTTCTAGAACATTCGTAATGACTCTGATCTGGGTATGTGCATACATGATATCGTTCACTCAAATATTTCATGCTACTTACTGTCTGTATAAGTAGTATGATACAGCTTTGTTGTAGGTTGTAAGACAAACGCACCTCAAGCTGGACGGTTAGTATAATGACAATGAAAGAACAGTTACATACCAAGCATTCACATGACAGCAGAATATAAATAGATTATTGATAGTAGTATGACGAATTCGCTTTTGACCTTAAGGTAATTTACTGACCATCATACTTGGTCAGGTTGCCCATGGAGTGAACGACAGACAAACTTACATGCAAGATGTACTGAAATGAAAACCTAGCCAGTTTCCGGTTCTTATGGTTCATTTGAAGGAGAGCACCGGCAAGTAACCCAGTTACCCATTTCAGCTTCCATCGTTACCTGATATAATCATACTCACCGGCTTAGTATCTTGAATTTGTATCTATCTCTCTTTCGCTCCTGGTGTAACATGAATAAGTATGACTGTGAATAAATTACCGTTTGGTTAGCAACAAAGCCATTAAATTGCTGAAAATAAACTATTTTCGTAGGTCACAGACAATAAATGCACCAATTAGTCTAGATAATTTGAAGATGTCAAGTGTAAACTGCTGAGGAGTTCCATGCTGGGATGAAACAGGTGCACGGTCCTCCCAGGTTTTCTATGGTTCTCCAACTGATGGCGATCTGTGATGAATACGAACTTGAAACCAATAAATTCCCCAAAACTTCCAAGTTTTGGAGATGGCTTTCATCATGGCAAGACACTCAGTGTGAGAAGCTATTGTAAACCGGCATGAATTGCACTGGATTGAGTTCAACGCCTTGAGGTCTCCAAGTGAGCCGATAGAGACCAAAAATTGATGAACAGACTCCAACTTAAGACGAAATGACTGATTACGTTTCACTTTTTTTACGGTTCTTGAGATGGATCTTCGTCCATGGTGAAATTTTTTTCCAGGAGCATGGAGATGAACAAATTTCAATCCCTACATGTACTTGGAGACAAACAACATATACTGTCTGACAGTTACGGCATTATATTTTACTGTATGTTGTCTAAATATCTGACAGCACTTGGTGTGGTGTTCTAGACCTGTATCATGCTCAGTATTAGTTAACAATCTGGAATTTTTACTACCTTGAGACAAATGATGCCACTCAAAGGACTTTAGTGAAACCAGACGTATGATATCTGAACTATTCCTTCCACAATTGATATCTTCTATGAAGCAGTATACTGATGATTCCTAACACACCGAATACTCATTTCTTGTCAGTGGTATAAAGCAGCATTAATAAGTTATCAACTCAGACTCGCTTACAAGCTTATTTTTAGAGTGAGTTTAACAAAACCTGAGGAACATGTGTGTAAATGTTCGTACTTCACACAACACCCAGGTCCAGTACATGCTGAGTGATGCAATAATTATGAACCAGTAGTTAATTGAACCTCACAACTTGGTTGATAGGAAGCTGGACAAGTAACATCGAAGTAGGCTAAGTCTTAAAACCACGAGACAAGACCTGCCACAGCCTAAGGTTTAAATGTCAAGGATAACGCAAATTAATTTACAGTTTTCGCTTAAAACATACGACTTGACTGAAAGTGAATCTTTTGTTGGTAATATCAGAGTATTCTTCTGTCTTCTTACATAGACCAGTAAGGTAAATAATCACAGGAGGTCCACATCTACCAACGTAGTTTGATGTCTCAAATGTCTATCCTCTAGCTCCATATACCATTGTTCAGCGCCCCCCCCCCTCACAAGCAGGCATGCAGACGAAAGCTTAATCTAATCTATATAATGGTGACTATCGACTACGGGTATATTTTCACATGCCGAGTTGTGAAACATGCCTGTTATGTTAGAGACTGCCTGTACTATCCAACTGACCAAACCGAAATGAATGACGAGTTACCTGAACGGGTGACTCAGCGATTGCTGCTTAACGGCCTAATTTTCTGATTCACAAATTGGCCGTAAATGTGAAAGATTGAGAAATTATCATGCAGATTTAACTTTTCTGATAAGGCCAAATGACAGTTGTAAACTTTGGCTTCTCCATCTAGGAATCCTCACGACCTCATATATTTCAGCTTAGTTTTCAGCTATATATCTCCGCTATACACCTCCTGCTCTAATTAGAATTGTTCTTCAGGAGATTTCGTCGATAAGTGTGACGTCTGTTGCTATAGCAAATACGGCTGAAGAATTACATCTGTTGGTAAGGATTTATTACCTATCTAACCAACTGCCTACATGATGATATCGCTGAGTGTTTCGGTACCAGAAGGAAAGTAATATGAGATTTTACAATAAATTCTTATCTATTTATATCGATCTCATCAGGGAATGTGTAATTTACAAAGCCGTGGTTCGATTCCACGTTATACTTATTGTATCTAGGTTAGATCTTTGTATATGAGTGTCCGTTTTATTTCATGAGTGTTTTAGAATTTTTATCAGTATTCAATGATGCATTAGTTAACTAATAGTTATTCAATCCTTTGATATCATTCATCTGGATCCACGAACAATCACTATATGATCTGAAAGCTGTCAGTAGGTTGAGTGCTGTACCTCTGACCCAACTGATTAACACTGTAGTTGATGGACATTTGACTTCAATCATTCTGGCTGTCTGAAATAGCTATGGCTTGACAGACCAGTATTGGTACTGGGTGTCGATTGAAAGGAAAACGAAAAATTAGACCGCGGTGAGAATCGAACCACAGACTACTGGGTCTTCAGCCGAATAATCAAGCTGAGAAGTAGCTACAGCCATTTTATCCGATATCTCCTGAGGGAGGACAAGAAGAAATCATAAGAGACTTTACACTCGTACGGCTAAATATAAGAATTCAACTATCCCACCTTATCCAGCACGCATCTTTTGTGAGGTAAAACGTGTTAGAACGGAGCTCACTTATCAACTTTGTAGCATTACGCAGTCAGTCTTTCCAATATCTTAATTATCCTCGTTGCTAATATTAGTTACATAATTCAGATTGCCATAATTAACGCTACTTCAAATGTTGTAAAGGAGTGTATTTATATTACAGTATTACATGCTGAGAATTGTAAATTGCATCAAAGTCGTTTCGAATGAAGTCATTATTACTAGCAGTGGTATTATTATTATTATTATTATTATTATTATTATTAGTAGTAGTAGTAGTAGTAGTAGTGGTAGTAGTAGTAGTAGTAGTAGTAGTGGTAGTAGTGGTAGTAGTAGTAGTAGTAGTAGTAGTAGTAGTAGTAGTAGTAGTAGTAGTAGTAGTAGTAGTGGTAGTAGTGGTAGTAGTAGTAGTAGTAGTAGTAGTGTGAGTAGTAGTAGTAGTAGTAGTGTGAGTAGTAGTAGTAGTAGTAGTAGTAGTAGTAGTGTGAGTAGTAGTAGTAGTAGTAGTAGTGTGAGTAGTGTGAGTAGTAGTAGTAGTAGTAGTAGTAGTAGTAGTAGTAGTAGTAGTAGTAGTAGTAGTAGTAGTAGTAGTAGTAGTAGTAGTAGTAGTAGTAGTAGTAGTAGTAGTAGTAGTAGTAGTAGTAGTAGTAGTAGTAGTAGTAGTAAAAGCAGGCGAGCAAATACCCTAAGGTATGTTTATAAAGTGAACTCTGATTACTAGCCTGACTTACTGAGAAAGAGTAGATGACCTGAGTGACTAAGACATGCATATACGCGACCTACAACAGTAACTCCCACTACATCCGAAATCGAAGTATTGAACGAGTGGGGATGTTAACTTGAGCTTAACTGTAAAAATCATATTTGTCGGTGAAAATAATAGTTGTTATTTGTAAATTATCTGTCGATGAATATCTGCTTAATTGTATACTCATGAAGATCAGGGGTTCAAGAAACAGAAGAGTATAAGGTTGACCTGGCTTCAGTTTCACAGATTTTACAATGGAAATTTCAAAAAACCGATTCGGTTCGTCTTGCGCGCTGTTATGAACGTGGATGAAACTCATTTGTATGTTTTAGGAAATTATTATCACCGGCATAGTAGAAGTTGTTGAGTTGTAAATACATAGATAGTAACTGAAGTTTGTGGCGAACCATAATGATAGCTTTATTACATAACCAGGGGTTTAAATGACATGATAGTTGAGAGATTCATTGGCTAAGTTATCAGATTTGACTATCATACTCAATCACCCCAGTTCCTACATATCAGATACTTCACTGCATTAAATGCCCAAACCAAAGTGACCAGAAATGGATGATGAGAAGACTCAGTAGCTGATTAGTGTTACCCACCAATCATAATGGTTTCTTACCTGGGGTAGGAAAGTTTGTGACTAGACGGCTACATTAATTATGGAAGGTGGAATGTTGGTATTTTACTCAGAATCAGTCGCATGGTATGATACAGGAGTCTATCAGTAGTCAGACAGTCGTCTTTATTTGGTGAACTCAATTGTTCAGACCATTATAAGGAGCGAAATTCAGTTTGCACATTCATAAATACATAGACTACACAGATATGCCAAAAAAATAAGCTAGGGTTAATTCAGTCTGATCACCAATGATTATTTAATACAGTCCAGTTGTTATATAGTGATTTACCTCTCGCCGTTGCCACTCTCCAGATGAATCTACCTTTACCTTAGTGAGTCATATTGTTCCCACTCAGATTCTTACCAGCTACCAATTACTGCAAACATCAGACTACAGTGTCCGAAACCATTAGATTCACAGAAGTGCTGAGTATGAGTAACGGAACAATCGACAACAATGAATGAAGGAACAGATATACAAAAGTAGCAGAGAATCTGGCACAAAAGTTAACTGAACTAAGGGGAAAGGTTAGACCAAGAAATAGGAAATATGCGGAAGTATAAGGAACCCATTACACCCAGCAGTTGATCATCAAGTCCCTGACCGTCAGTTTCGGTTGTCTCGTGAAAGACACAGAAGGCTAAACTGATCAAACTGACAGTTATATTGGTGTCGTCGTCTTGCCTTAACTATCTTCAACCTCTCGACATAAAAGAATGGTCCTGGAAATGATTATCTGTCAGACTCTAATAACTATATCCCTTAGTGGCATTAATTACAACTTCATCATTATCACAATGCCATTCATATACGTATAGCGTCTTCAATAGCCTCATGGCTCATTGGTAAAAAGTACTGGAATTTTAAGGATCTAGACAACTGATCAATGTGTGACCAATCAGGCAGGGGTAGTGGCATGACACGTAGGTACTTCCGTGACTACTGAGCTACATACTCTCTATTGATACAATTCGGGAGCATCATATATGAGCCGCAGATTTTTTAATCCAAAGTTTGTTATACTACCTGCCTATCGTAACTTCAGTAGATGAGGTGGGGTTCAAGCCACTCATCAACTAAGTGAAAATAAAACGCCTAAAACTATAAACCACAACTTTACAAATTGACATTAAAAGCAGATAAGCTTATTTAATAGCAAAACACTTTAGAAATTCCTTCATGTGTATTTATAAAGAAACTAACAGCAACCATCAGGCATTTAGAAGACGTTTAATTTGGGGGTTTATGAAGACTTAATAATTGATTTCAAGTTGATATTCATCACAAACTCATATCACTTCGAGGAACATTCGAAACCTCAACATACTGCACATCTGTTTCATCCTAGTATGGGACTCCTCACCAGTGCACACCCATGATCCCATCCCACCAGCCACCCATCCCAGCATCCTCAGGCTCCGTGACCACCATGTCACCACTGAGTCACTGGCTTGGGACCAATTGGTCCATATTTCCTACTTCTGTCAGTTCACGACAAAGTGCGATCACCACCCAATATCATCGGTGATTATTTGTCCTCCTGGCCACCAGATTTTCCCTAACGGTGACGACTTCACATTAGGATTTCTGGAGTCATTTTTCGAAGCCAGTCACCAATGAGCACTAGATTAATTCGATCTGGGGTTTGTGGGAATTTATTGATTCAAAGAAAGAGAAGGAGAGAAAGAGATCAACACGAAAAGCGGAAGTATTGTCCATGAACTTGAGAAGGAGATGAGTAAAAAAGAGATTTACAAAATAAAAAGAAGAGATATGACTGGAATAACACAATATTACGAGAAGGAAACTAGAAGAATTCATCTAAACCACTTTTAAATAAGTTTTTGTCCACTCCTCTAGGTGAAAACTAACCACAAGGTTTACATCTCACAGCTCATGGCTTATATTAACAAGCAACAATGGTATAAATCGGTTTAATGTCTTTCTACAACAACTTTTAGCTAAATACCTTTGTTCCACTTGTACTCCTGTGAACAAGTGACAGACTGATGAAGAGTATTCTGTTATGAAGACGAAACTTTTACTCAACAACACTTTGCTCTTAAGGTAGTATTTATCATGGGATGATATCGGTTAGGGGATCTCTTAAAATTTTGGGGCATTGAATAGCTGTTTCGTCCTAGTATGGGACTCCTCAGCAATATACTTCCACTACTTTCAGGTTTCACAGTGAACACATTAGTCATCCAGTCACCTAGTTGAAGTTCATTAGTCCACAGTTCCCTACTTTTGTCAACTCGTTATACAGCACAACTATCCACCAAGGTCTTGGGTTGGCAACAGCTTCACTTCTGACTAGTTGACCCTTTTGATTCTCTTTAGAACTTCAGGATATTCATCTCGAGTCATGTCATTCACAAATTAGGATTTTATCTTCATCATCATGTACTGACATAAGTTGAAGAACCACTGTCCATTGCTCTATGACGAGTAATATCTTAAAAATAAAATCCCCATTAACCTCGAACCCTGTTATTCATTTCGTTTCCTTTTTATTTGTCTTCTATTAATTGACAACAATAGTTTCATAGAACCAAAAAATATATTCAGGGAAAAGAGTAATCTATTCAAAGAAAATTTACTTACTTTCTATTGTATTGAACTACCCGGAAAGGTTGTATTTTAAACAAGGTCAACACTGAACATTGAATTAGAATCCACTGAAAAACTTAGTTCACTTCTTAAAAGGACATATGAAAAGCAGCAGAAGAATTTTAAAACTTATTTCTGTAATTGTAAACGTGAAGAGTGGATTTTTTTATACTACAAGAGATCATCATCATCATTTGTAGATAATACTAACATCGTCATCATTATAACTGTATCAAGTTTGAAGCATGCTTTTTCTTTATGTGCCGCCTCCCTTTCGTTTTGATCGATTTCAGAGTAAAACAGTCTGACGCATTCCTCCTTCAATACACATTCATGCAGATGAGCCACGTGTAAAGGATTGGTTAGTCAACAACAACAACAAAAATGTAGTAGACAAAATTGAGTGTGAGAATCACACATACTGATCTGCCTATTGGCCGAAAGAAATAGTCAGGGTGACAGAGAGAGAGAGAGAGAATAATTTAGGTTGAAGACTAGCGTAATTGAACCCACGTTCTGGCAGGTATACATGCTTGCTGCTTTCAGAAACTACTGGCGTTACTGTACACAAGTGTAGAACGTCATATCAACAATTATTACTAACATACCTTTACATTATGCATTGAAAGACTTCAGTCATCCACCCCTTGTATTGTATGTGCAAAAAGCAGACAAACAAGGGAGTATTGGCACCAAAAGTATGAAAGATAATTCTTTATTTCTCTCTCACACACATACATGCGCACAGACGCACACCCTTACACGAGTGTTGCATGCTTACATTAATACAATGATCGTGTTACGGACAGATGATAAGTAGTACGACCTGCTATAGCTATACCTTTTCCTCTTTTACTCCTGCTTCTATCTCCTATGCAAAAAACATAAAGCTTTTTGGTAAGTTAGTCAGTTAATCAGTCAATCCAGGAGACACGAATAAGAGGAGAGAATAAGAGAGACAATAAGTAGACGACGGTTATGATAAGTTCTTACAGATAAACAACTGGTTATTTCTCTATATTCACTGGAAGAAAATTATTTTCCATGAGATGCACTTTCTTTCTCATGCTTGGTCATAGTTCATGTAGGACTGATGAAATAACTAGAAAGTCTTTTCATTGGAAATCTGACCAATGTCTAGTGTATTTGGGAAATACATTTCAAATAAACTGATCAGTTCAGATAAAATCGAAGAATGGGGGGTGGGGGTGGACAGAACGATTAAGATAATATTATTCCTGTTGGTATTCATCATTAACTGACATCAGTTAGAGAAGTGTTGGAAACCTAGGAGCACTGGAACGTTGTCTTGTCCTAGTTTGGGACTCTTCAGCAGTGCATCCCCACGAACCCATGACTTTTGGGTTCCGGTGCCAGCAAGTTACCATTGTGCCACTGCGTCGGAATACAATGGTCCATATTTCCAATTGAAGAGTCTCATACTAGGACGAAACAGCTGTCCAGTGCTCTCAGGTTTTCAATGTTCCTCCAACTGATGTCAGTTCATAATGAATACCAACTGAAAAAGTCTCTAAATCCCTACAAACCCCCAAATTGAATTAAGATAATAGATGATTAAAGGAAGACTGATACATTTAATCCTCATCTTCTCAAGGAGAGGAAGACAAAGTCAACGTAGAACCTAGCACACACGTCCAGCGGCTCGATTGACCTAACTTTACAGTAATATGAAAAGAACAAGTGGATAGAAAAAGACATATCAAAGTAGATAAAGTACAGTGAGAGAACATGCAATATGAAAATAAAGGTTGGTGCAAATATCCAAGCTTTAGAAGGCGTCATTGTGACCGATTTCCAGCCATGTTATCAAGAGTTGTCAACCACCGATTCCCGTCTTGGAGAACCGAACCAGACAGCCTACATCTCCTCACACGGCTCCGACCAACAACTATAGGATCCATCTAGTAGTGCCACTTCTGAGTCTAACCAACGTCAAATCTCTTCCAACCTAATCCAACTCCCTCTAGCATCTCACGTAGAAGTAGGTGGTGCAGTATATGTCCAAGACATCTCAATCATCAACCGAATTGCCTCCCCTGCCTAGTACGCTTCACCTGACCTCAATATTGCCCACATAGCGATTCCACCAAACGCAAGCAGTGCTACAAAGACATCTATGACGGCAAGCCTGTGATCGCTTTATGTCTTCGACTTTTAACTGTCATGTCTCACATTCATACAACAGAATACAACGGACTGTAATGCAGTACACTCATCTTTTGATAGACAGTCGAATATCTCTCCTATTGGCTCTACAGGTGACACACATTGACAAATGCCGGTTGGGCCTTCTGTATCCGAGCTGATATTATGGCGGCAACCAGCCTTTTCAGGCCGATGCAACTCCCAAGTAAGTGAAGTGGTCAACATATTTCACTAATTCATTCCGTACCATTAAGGTGAGACTATTTACAGTAGACCGGTCCTGAAACATCATCTTACATTTGACAGATGCGAGATACATACCAAACATACACAGATTTCTGCTAAACACGTTCACAAGATGCTGCATTTTGTCAGCGAATTTACCCAGTAGGACGATATCGGTTGTATATTCCAAGTTAACCAGATGACCTCTAGGGAGTAGGTCAATCCCTGTGACATCAGAAGTGTCTGAAGTTATGTTCAGTAGTACGTCTATGACAAAGTTAAATAGGAACAGTGATAATGGGTATCGCTAGCGGACAACGCTAGTTGACGTCAATTCTGATGACAACCCTCTATAAGCCCTTACATGGCTGAGTGAGCTTTTAGTAAGGAAATACGGTCTATCAAAGTAAATGTAGTATAAGAACAAATAGTTTTTGCATACACAAAAGTGGTTCCAGTTTACGTAAGGCTATCGCTTCTGCAAATCTCAGTATGCGTTCCCAACTGTTCTGTATAAAAATTCGAAAACTGTTTAGGCATTAGTAATGATGGGTGGTGGCTAGTAGTGGAATCCAGGATGCACACGCACACACACACACAATGGGGTCGTAAGAAAGTGAAAACTAGTGGTTCAACGAGCAAACTCAATTCGGCGACTCTATTCACTAAGCTCCAAATTCTCATTTGTTGGGTGCTTTTGCTGAGAATGTGTGAAAGTAGTTAGTTAAGCATGACAACAAGCGAGATGATACACATACAAAATGAAGACTCTAAATGTTACCCTAATAACTGCCAAAATAACCAGTCAGCGTGAGGTATTTTATCTGGAAAGACAACTTTTCATAGAATAGAGAAAACTGATTGATTGTTTCATCAGTTGCTAGGATGGCCTTTAAAATTGCTCCATAAAAAAATAGAAAAATCATTTTCATCCTAAAATAATAAAAATGAGTTACTTTAAAGGCCACCCTACCAACAACTGAAATCACCAATCACACTTCTTTTTTTGGCTTTTAAAATCGCCCAATCAAAATGTTTATGAATGTTGAATGATAATAATAATGTAACAATGTCATATTTAAAGCAACTGGTCCCTTTGATAAATTTAAACAGAGTAATGAGAAGACGAAGATTATCTAAAACATGTGGTGCATTAGCGCTATGCATTTCAAACCATCTGATCATACATGGACTTGTCGAACTATTTATGCGAAAATTTACAAAAAGGGTCAATGAATTGATGATAGATCATGGCTAGCAGTGAAATCCAGGATGCACATTTCATCCTATCTTGGACTCGTCAGCTGGATGTAGCTGCTTCCCAGTGGGTGATGTTGTTCCCACTGGGATTCGGACTCGAGAGCAGGTACGTTCAGCTGACGAGTTCTAAGTAGGACGAAATGCGCATCCTGGATTCCACTGCTAGCCACGATCCATCATTAATGCAACTAGAAGGCAGGCAATATCAAAACATCCTCACAGGAGCCCATATGCCAGGAGACCGATCAATTCGGTCCAGTCAACGACGGTATCATATAAAAACAATTATACTAAGGGTCAATGAAGTCAATAGGAAATATAGGAATAGGAAGGAACAGAAAAAGAAAAAAAACGTTACTCTTGTTATGAAAATTAAAATCAATACTACCAAGGTAGGTTCAACGTGAGTACAAATTGTTTTTGTAAACATAAAGGGGGTTTAAATTTACGGATAGCAAGAGCTTCAATAAATTTAAGCACTCGCCTCCGACCACTTTTCTGTAGTACTTTAAAGGCTGGTTAGTTTCTAGTATATGTTTAGCGATAGGCGAAGATGGATGTTTGTCACCTGCACTTATCAGATCTGTTGAGGTCATATGTTTTTGTAGCCACATCACATGTTTCAGATAATCTTCGTCTTCTCATTACGCTGTTTAAATAATGTAATAATCACTTTATTCCAAACAATATGTATGACAGTATGGAGTTCTCAGCCTGTAATTTTTCAACAAATTTACTCCTAGAACATTACTATCAGACGAAATGGTTATTGCATCCGAATGATGTTAATAATAACAGTTATTTAAGGCAATATTGTGAAATAAGCAGCTCGTTCTGGATATGTATTTGGTTCATAATGAAGAATCAACAGAAGTGCAAGTGCAATTTCAGTGGTGACTGTTCATTCAGACGGTACAAAAATCTGAAACTCATGTTAAGTATCTGACGCATAGAAATACGATGTAGTTTTTTGCACTGAAAAGTTAATTTCCATATCACGTAATATTTTTTCTGTCTTGTTATTGACTCGAGAAACAGACAGTTGGAAACAGTTTTAAAATATGCTAGAGTACATGACACGTTCAAGGGATATATTTAAATGATTAAAACAAATTGAAAGGACAGAGTTTGATGAAAAACGTTCATGGATAAATTTGGTAGCCCAAGGTTTAAGCAGGCCACCTTTGTAGTAGTCAGAAGGTATACTAAGTAACAAGCAAAGCTGACTCATTATGACATGAAAGAACAGGAGTGCTTAGAATGTTGACTATCGCTCAAGTAACGGTGATTAAGTTTGATTAACGAGTCGAATAAGAAGATAAAACATTTAATGAATAAATTTTTCAAGTTGTTATTCATCGAAGACTGACATCAGTTGGAGGAACAAAGGAAACCTGGGAGCACTGGACAGCTGTTTCGTCCTAGTATGGGACTCCTCAGCAGTACGCACCCACGACCCCACACCAGCAGGGATCGAACCCGCGACCTTCAGGTTCCGCGGGTTCGATCCCTGCTGGTGTGGGGTCGTGGGTGCGTACTGCTGAGGAGTCCCATACTAGGACGAAACAGCTGTCCAGTGCTCCCAGGTTTCCTTTGTTCCTCCAACTGATGTCAGTCTTCGATGAATAACAACCTGAAATACTTCCAAATCTCCACAACCCCCTCAAAAAGAATAAATTTTTATTA